ATTCATTATATTCTCACAGGGAGAGCTTCCAGTCATACCGTGTGGAGAACCATCTTTATTAATTGTATTGTGTTTCCTGATCGAGATAATAGGAATAGCTTTATTTTATAAAGGGCTACAACTTGAACAAGCTGGTGTAGTTTCTGTTGTTCGAGCAGCCTCTCATATTATTTTTCTTTTCTGTTGGCAACTGTTTTTCTTCAAAGAAATTCCAGACATTTGGAGTATCTCGGGTGTAACAATAGTTATTTCTTATATTATATGTAGTAGTTTGGGCAAATACTTTATGTGTATTTATTACTGTATGTAATAGATTAGTTTTACTTATTTTCGCACGTAACTGTATCTTATTTTGTGAGCGAAATCTGTTGAATTCCAGTGTTTGTGTTGAGAGTTAAGTTTGATTTGTTCTAATACTCTTTCATTTCGTTTTATTGTGTTACTTGTAGGCACAGTCTCCATATTTGATATGTTATTTATGTTTCCTGTTTTATGTGTTCAAAATGAATTGTCCCCCCGCTGGGACAAGGGTAAGTCTACGGATTTACAACGCTAAAATCAGGGGTTCGATTCTCGTCGGTGGACACAGCAGATAACCCAATTTGGCTTTGCTTTGAGAAAAACACACACAGATTGAATTATTACACAAAGACCGTTTTCTAATTATTTTGTGTGATGAAGAATATTACAGAGAAAAATATATATCTATATCACTTTTGCAAATTTAGGCAACTGCACATGGGTGATTCTTTCATGCTTGCCAGCCCTGTCAACCAAACTACACTGCCTCCCATTTCATCATCAACACAAAGTCTCTCCCTTTATGCCTGTCTTCTAACTGTAGGTGTTTTTTCTCACCTTCTATTTTTAAGTGTTTATTCTCAGTTTACAAGCATTTTATTTCTAATTGTATCTTAGGAAGCTTTAAATCATTACCATGATAACTTAAGCAAACAACACTCCCAGTTCCCTAATTTTAACTAAACTCAAGGCTATAAAAATTACCAATCTTGACTCCTGCCGCACATAGAATTTCACGAATTTCATTTGTTTTCAAATTGTCATTATATGTTATATACAATTCTTTACATTTATTTATCAACTGACTTTTTGTCAGTAACTTACAACTCTCTATCATGCTAGAATTAATTCTTTACTCTTAAAAGAGCGAACCACACAGTTTATAACTACTAAAATTAACTTATTTCACCATCAAAACCAACCTAGGCAAGATAAGAAAAGGAAACTTACTCTACTTCCCAACTTCACTGCTTCATCCAGTTGACTTTCCTCCTAGGCTTTTGTTGATGTAGTTCCATCTTCAGAATTTTTTTCATCGTTGGGGTTCGATTGCTAATTAATTGATGAATCCCACTTCTGACACTACTTTCTTATAATCATGCTATAATCGTACTTCGTTTTTCTTTCATTCCCTTCCTTTGTCCATCAACTTTATTTGTGTTGTAGTTATCATCCTCATAAATTGAATAATACCAATATAAACATAACATGTTTTGTTTCTTACAAGCATCATATTACTATCTTCCTTTACCTTTCTCGGTTTATTCATTCTCTCTGACACATCTCTCTGCCTTCTATTTCTGTCTTTTATATTCCTTTTTCAAACCCATCTCTAACTGTTCCTTTTCCTTATGACCTTGCACCTGTTTCCCATATTTCCGAATATAATCTTTCATATCCATAGTGGGGCTTGTAGTCTCCATATCAACTGAATTTAGAAAGATGGAGGCTATAGCTTCTTACTCCAAACATTTTCTAATAACAGAGTACTATGAGCCCCTAATTGCTTAGAGACTAACCAAAGACCCGCTGCTTTCTCACACTCTCTCATCTTTAACTGATGTTACCTTACACCTAACTTCATAAGAGATGATGTAACTTACTTCTTTATATATAGTTGATCTTCACTACTTTCGTGTGTAATATTTTCCATGTAAACTGCTAGGATGTCCAGTTTCTGGTCATTGGAACAATTTATTGGAAATGTCTGATGCAAAACCTATACTTACACCTTATTTGGTGGGTGGGGCTAGAAGAGAGATAATATTAAGATAGCAGGCTATGATCTTGTGTTACCTGAGGTATAGAAACAAATGAATATACTGAGTGTTTTTAGAGTATCATATAAAGTGTATTTTCACATTTTCGATGGGACTTAATAAAGGATAAAAATGTTGTTTTAGAACAAACTACACAGTGGATCACGTGCACTCTGTCCACCACAAGGAATCAAACCCTGCACGTAGGTGTTGTGATCCCTAAACTTATAACTGATCTACTGGGGTACGGGTTTGAAAATAAATGCCCCTATTTACAATAAAGTGAATGTTAACCTATTTGAATTAAGTGTTTAGGATGTTAAAAGCTAACCATCATAGTGGATCTGCCCTCAATAATTTCTAGTTTGTTGGCTTATTTATTTGATATGACACAGTCTTGGCCAAAAGGTTTGCATATTTTCTAACAAATAAGGTCATTATTATTCATATGGAATAAAAATACACTTATTGTTGTCAAACTGAGAAATGCATGTTATATTAAACATCTACATATGTAATTTGTATAATGAGGCAGGTTCTATGGACATCATGAACGATTTATTAGAACAGTAAACATTTTTTTCAGACATCTGTAGAAAGATGTGTAATTCAGCATTCCACTTGTCACAACGAAACCTTACCTAAACATATATAATGACAAAATATAACATCAAATTTTTATAAATAGTATCTGTAACCTTATATCAGTTCATATTAAACATTCAGTTGTTGGTTGGTTTTCCTCCTACTCTACAGGGCGATGTGTCATGCTGTCGATGAGGTTATTCATATAATACAAAGTGATTTAATCCCAACGTATCACTAGAATTCGTTGTAACTCAACTAC